ATGAATGTGACATACTCTTGTTTCACTCTGTTGCATCATCCCACCCACCAGGCATATAGAGTGCCCTGATTGGCCCACAAAGCGGATAAAGCTCTTTGATTTTTTTCACTAAGCAGATAGAGCACTATGATTGGCCCACCATTATGGACCAATCACAGCTCTTTATGTCTTTGAAACCCCTCTAGAGAGTTGTGATTGGCTAGCCAGAGTCCTGGTAGGAGCTGCGGAGGTTCCAATGGAGCGTGCCTAGACCAAACTTTGCAAAGCAAGAATTTGGTCTAGTTCACTAGGCTAACACTCCTCCTCACTCGCGAGTAAACATCCTGGGAGTAGACATTGAGGTGATGGATACCTTTAAGTACCTGGGTGTTCACCTCAACAGTAAACTGAACAGATCCAACAACACAGATGCTCTGTATAAGAAGGGCCAAAGCCACCTCCACCTCCTGAGGAGGCTGAGGTCCTTCTGAGTCAATTGCCATCTGCTAAAATCCTTTTATCACTCTGTTGTTGGCTCTGTTATTCATTCTGCTGTGGTCTGTTGGGGTGCAGGAAGCTCTGACCAAGACAGAAAGAGACTGAACAAGCTAAAGCTAGCTCAGTTCTGGGCTGCCCACTGGATTTAGTTGAGGAGATTTGTGATAGGAGGATGCTTAAAAACCCCTCCCACCCACTGCATCCCACTGTGGAGACCATGGACAGCTCCTTCAGTGGCAGACTGAGACATCCAAGATGTAAAACAGAACGCTACCGTAGGTCATTCATCCCCTCTGCAGTCAGAGTGTATAACTCCTGTTTAACTGGTACTGGCATTATCCTGGTACACAATAACCTCAAAGCAATATTCAGTATGTGTTCAATACTTGTGCAATACCAGATGTGTCCCTTACGCTGCATAGTTCTGGAAACACAAGTTTTCTTTTATTTGTTGTTTGTAGTGGTTGAAGGTTACAGTAATTACTTATTGCCTCTGTATTTACCTGTAATCTTGTTATTATTTACTTCTTGCTTTTCAAGTGAATGTGATGTTGTAGCAAGTAGGGCTGTAGCGAAGCCTCGACGAAGTCGACGGCTCGATTCTAAAAATTTGTCGACGTCAGATCCGGAAGTCGACGCACCGCGCCCACTTGTTGCATCCCCAGGAGTTTGTAAATAGAGGAGGAATCTGCCCGTTTTTCCTCTAGTTCGCCCTCTTCTCCGCCTTCCACTAACATCTCCGCCAAATACCGAAGACCCGGAACAATGTCCGTCCTCTACTAGATTATTTTCCTGTTTTGCCCCTTCGTCTCCCGGCAACGGACAACAACTTCCGGGGTCAGATGCGCTGCTTCGTGTCTATCGCAGATGTAGAAAATCACCGGGAGCGCTTCTCCCTTCATTAAGGAGCTTCTTTCAGACATTAGGAGAGCTGTTTTGGTGGTAGCAGTCTCTCCTCCGTGCTGGTCTGTTTGCTGCTGGGTGTTTTTGGTTTATTTAAACTTGGTAACTTCAACTTAACGTTGGTAAAGCTACTGTTAGCATCTTCGCTAACAGCTTCTTGCGTTGGGATAAGCTGTTACGTTTTGGTTTAGAGTTCATCTTTTTTGTGGTGTAGATCTCCCTTTTATTACATTTAGAGTGTTGTGGGTTTTCGGTTTAGTGTAAAATATCACCTGAGTTTGGTTTAACCCGTAACACCACTCGCCTCACGCACATAAGTGACCAAAACAAAGCAGCATGGAGACACTCCATCTTCTACCACCTCTCAGGCAGCAGCCTGCACTCCCAAGTTCTACACGTCACCAGAACATAACCAACCGCAACACAATAAAAGCAGTGTTATACAAAATGGAAGGCCTGTAGTGTTTATTCTCTTACAGTAAGAATTTATCAATTTTTTTGAGGAATTTATTTGAGATTTTCTGGTTTTTGTTAATTGTGCAATAGAAAAATAATCATTAGATTAATTTTCTAAATAGTCATTAGAATAGTCGACTATTCGATAAAATAATCGTCAGAATAATTGTTTTAAAAATAATCGTTTACCCCCAGCCCTAGTAGCAAGTGAATATCCCCAATGTGGGATTAATAAAGTCTATTCTATTCTACTAAAATACTGTAAATGCAAGAACACTTTTTTTAATCTAAAAAGCCAGGCATCATGGTTTATAACATTTGTTTCCCCTTCACCACCAACTAACATCACATTGGCTGGAAATGAACTCCCTTAAAACGTACATCTGAGATGCTTACTGCCACCATGCCTCACCAACACATGGTAACTAAGATGAGCTGGTGTCATTATCTTCCCGGTGACGACGTTAGCCACCCAGAAGGACTGTAGAGGCGTTTTATGTAAGCTATGTTTCAGTTCACACTGAGATCATCACCAGTCTCCGTTCTTCATTATGTCAAGGATGTTTGTGTGCACTCAAGCGAATATCCACCTTCAAAAGATTTGTGTGTGTGTGTGTGTGTGTGTGTGTGTGTGTGTGTGTGTGTGTGTGTGTGTGTGTGTGTGTGTGTGTGTGTGTGTGTGTGTGTGTGTGTGTGTTGGCAGGCTGTCCTTATTTGTCCTGTTGTCCCAGGCTGAACTGGCCTACAAAGTAAAGTGTGTGTGTGTTTGTGCGTACATGAGTGACTGAGTGTGTGTGTGTGTGTCTGTTGTGCGTGAGCAAGTGAGTGTATGTATGTGTGTGTGTTTGTGCATGTGTGTAAGTGCATGATTGAGGGTAAACGTGGTTTTATTTTCAAAATAAAGTACATTTATGACCTTTTTGTTTGTATTAATTCATATTTCTCTAAGATCACTTGTCCTTCGGAGTGTGTGCACGTATGTGTGTGTGTGTGTGTGTGTGTGTGTGTGTGTGTGTGTGTGTGTGTGTGTGTGTGTGTGTGTGTGTGTGTGTGTGTGTCCCATCTTATGTTTCATAAGCTGTCCACATTTACAGGGGTATGATGCAGGTCTTACATAAGCATCATATCTGGTTCAGAGTGTTTCTGACAGGTAGGAGAGAAAAAGGAAACAAATAAAAAAGCACAGTTAAGAAAAAATCACTGATTACTGAAGACAAATTAAGCCAAAAAGATCACACACACGTTTATGAGACAGGCCTCCTGATGTTTGACTGAAGGATGTTTGGACTCGGAGGGGAAATTGTCTGAATACACATTTTAAAAAGGCACCTGAACACTTGCTGACAAAGTTGAAGAGGTAAAAATTTTAAATCCTGTGTGAGATTGTAAAGAATCACTGGTATGGTTTTGGAAGACTGACAAATTTTAGTATTTTAACAAACTGAATTATTTACATTTGAATTAATCCTTTAATCAGTTCTGCTCAGATATTCTGAAATACTTCAAACATGAGTAAAAAACAGAATGAGCACCAATCAGTGAAAGTTTCCAATAAAGTATCAGAGTTGCGCTCCCTTTCATTTAGTTTCATGAATAAAAAGGTGTATCACGTCTAATCTTACTGCGCCTTCGGAATTTTCAATTTTAACTTTTTTTTTCTAAAGATTTTAACTAAAAGGTGTAAAAATCCAAACATAGTCATTGTGGGAGCAGTTGTAATTACATTACAACTGTGCATTGTATCTATTTACAGTTTGTGATTATTTACAGAAAGAAAGAAAGAAAGAAAGAAAGAAAGAAAGAAAGAAAGAAAGAAAGAAAGAAAGAAAGAAAGAAAGAAAGAAAGAAAGAAAGAAAGAAAGAAAGAAAGAAAGAAAGAAAGAGAAATATTTTCTATAGCGCCTCTCAAGATAAAAATCACGAGGTGCTTCACAAAAACTAAAAATTTTAAATATAAAAAAAAATTAAAAAAAAAAAGGATTAAAAAATATGTGGAAAATGAGACATTTTTTTTAAATATTGTGATTAAAAGATGAAAGGAAAGGGAGAGAGAAAATGAATAAGAAAGAGGGAAATCGGTTGATCCCGGGAAAGGCGGAATAAGAACAGAATAAGGAGAGGGTGGTGATGAAGATCACACAAAAGCCAGCCTGAGTCTTCAGCTGCTTCTTAAAGGAGACCACTGAGTCCACTGATCTCAGGCTCAGGGGGAGAGAGGTCCAGAGTCTGGGGGCCACAGCAGCAAATAATTTGTCACCTTTGGTCTTTAGCCTGGTGCTGCACAACCAGTAGGCTTTGATCACTGGACCTCAGGGACCTGCTGGGGGTGTAGGCACTAAGAAGATCACCAATGTAAGATGGTGCTTGTCCATGTAAGGCCCTATAGACCAGAACCAGGATCTTGAAATGAACCCTGAAGTTGACTGGCAGCCAGTGAAGCTGGAGGAGAAGCGGGGTGATGTGGGTGTGTTTGGAGGACTTGGTCAGAAGCCGAGCACAGGCGTTCTGAACCACCTGTAGACGGTTCAGGGAGGTTCTGCTCAGACACGTGAAAAGAGAGTTGCAGTAGTCTAAGCGTGAGGAGATGAAGGTGTGGAGAACTGTCTCAAGTTCAGAGCGGGACAGAATGGGACTCAGCTTAGCAATGTTCCTGAGATGGAAGAAGGAAGAGCGAACAAGAGAACTGACATGAGAATCCAGAGTGAGAGCTGGGTCAAAGGTCACACCCAGTATTCCTGTCAGAGGGTTTGGTCGGAGAAGAAAGATGACCAAGAGAGTCTCTGACTTTAGGAACCAGCTTGTCTGGGGCACAGATGAGGATCTCAGTCTTATCTTCATTCAGCTGAAGAAAGCTCCCAGCCATCCAGGTTTTGATAGAGTCTAACAGGTGTGTGACAGCTGCAGCTTAGACATCTCATGGGGCTTGAAGGAGATGTACAGTTGGATGTCATCTGCATAAAGATGGTAGGAGATTCCTTTAAAGGAGTTCAGGATGCGCTGAAGAGGAAGCGGGTAGAGGATAAGGTTATTTTAATTAAGTTTTAGTCTCTATCTTTGGTGTAATAAAAAGCATTTATAGATTTATCATGAACACGTTCAGTAAATTGAACAATAAATTCTGTCCTGTAGGATTTTAACAACTGTTATGGGTCCTCTTCCCACAGACCAGTCCCACAGCGCCCCCTTCAGCTCTGAAAATGAGGCTCAAGGAGGCAACCCAGCTATGTGGCACTGCACCTCTCCCCAATCTACCTCACCCACTGTGGAGACGCCAGCCCACCCCCCTTCCTCACAGCCTGCGTCCAGACCCCTCTCCAGAACGACGAGCCAAAGCCCCGCCCCTCCCTCCGCCACGACGGGAAGCAAGAAACGGAGCTCCAAGCCTGCACACATGAGACGAAACATCAGGTACTGTACGCAACGCATCAATGCCAAGACCCCCAGTCATGTTTATGCTCTACAGCAAGGGTATTCAAAAATAAGTGGCCATATTCTAATTTTTCGAATTTCACCTGTTGGCGCTCCCAATGACGAGCGTTGACATTCATGTTGAGCTAAACATGAATATAAGAGTATGGAGTCTTAGCTTTTTTTAGATGAATTAGTAGTTTTATGTGCTTTACAGTAAATTAGCAAGGCTGCATTTGAACTAAATGTTTTGAAACTGGGTTTCGACTCACTGCTCGACAAACAGAAACCAGTAAACCTCGAGTAAAGAGACGTTTCTGCTTCAAGGCAGCATATTCCAACATTTATTGTACTTCTAATAGCACTCAGCTATGTTAACCATCTCAGGGCTGCAGAGTGTAATGCCCGGAACACACCAGATGCGTAAGCGTAACGAAGCACCGTTGAACAACAAGCGCTTCTAATCGGCGCCCTTGTTAATCTACGCTCTCGGTCACATCAGCTGCGAAGCGCCACGAAGGCTCGCGCCGTGCAGCGATCGTTTCGGCGTGAGCTCTATTTTTTCGTGGGCCGTGAGGGAGCCGCGTCAATTCTGGCAGGAAGTCGAACCAAAGCAGAAGAGGCAGGCCAGTAAATTTAACAAAAATAAAAGAAAATTTTCTAAATAAAATACCGCGACTAACAAATGATCATTTTTGTATATCTAAACAGACTAGAGAGATGAAAATGAGCAAACACACACACACACACACACACACACACACACACACACACTCCCTCTCTTACGGAGAAACACAACGTTTCCATCATTTTAATTGCAGTTTTTACATCAAAAGATGGATTTAATAAATGTGAATACAAACAAATATGTTTATTTCAAAGGTAAATATAGTATTGTACACTACCACAAACACTAGCTATTTACCATTTAGAAAGAAACGGGTCTACAAAACAACAGCAGGATCAGCAAGCGGGGCAAACTGGTTATTCACACACACACACACACACACACACACACACACACACACACACACACACGGCAAGGGTGTGGGGTGGGGGTTGGAAAACAGTAGGCGTGAGCGCTCTTTTAAAATTCTCGCCTGATGTGAACAGAAAAGGAGCGGACAGCAAATAAATTTTGTGAGCGATCCACTTTGCGGCGCTTCGCAGCTGGTGTGTTGGTGTGTTGGTGTGTGGTGCGTAAAGCTTCAGTCCTCTTGGCTGCCGGGAAAACATA